TCCCAAAGCTCTAAGCCTGCAACAGAATGGTCGAAAGTATTAATTAGAGCGACAGAAAGAAAGCGACTACAATAACCGTGCTAGAACAGTATTCATTATAAGTGTCAGCAGCTCTAAGAACATATTTAAGGGTAGAAATCCAACCTGAAGCTTTTTACGGTCAGCCCGTCTCTTTCCAGCCTTTCCTTGTACCTGAAAACATAATAGGAGGCAATAATTGAAAGTCAAATACTGAAATCTTCAAGCGCCTCGAACACTAAATCAAACCACAGTGGTAGAACCACAACTAAAACCTGTGTTGTTTTTTTTTTTTTATCGTCAAGCTCGTAAGACCGATGGCTACATGCAGTTATTAAAAACTGGATCATTGTATATTGGAATTCGAGAGGTTTCATTGGTTTAGCCATCATGGTTTATGAGCCATTAAACCATGCTCTACCAATATGGTAAGCGTACGCGTGATTTTTTGGGGGCGTTTTTATTTCTTTTCTATTTTACAATTAGTTTTCCATATTTTGAGGACGTTCGCACTCGTTGGATATATATCCAACGTACGGTCGTGGAACAGTTGTTAATTAGGTTTTTTAATCAATTGTCTGAGGGGTGTATGTAAATTCACGAAGCACTTACTTTTCTCCTACTTCATTTTCGGGGTATTGGACGCTGTATCCAGGTAGCGGCAAAACCACGTCTTTGAGAAGATATTTTCCTTCGTCATGATCCGATGCGCACCTGACGTGGTCCCTTCCGACGCCACAGGTTTCATCTGCGCATAAACTCCTATCACTGTCGTGACTGTCAGCGGTATTCATATTTAACTCATGCGCATTAACAGTTTTATCTACGATCAAGTCTCCTTGAACAGCCGCTGTCCGACCGTACCGTCGTATCCTGTAGGATGCCATATGATTCCAGACAAGGCTACAGTAACTGTGAATGTACAACAGCCGCATGGAGTATGGGATGTTAAGCAACGCTTTACGGCAACCATCCTGTACAAGGAAAAAAGTTGTGTTGTTAACCTTGTCCTATTCAAAACAGGCTTTCGTAAGAGTCGCCAACTTCGGATAAAATTCAGCACGAAATTTTGCGGGCTGGCGATTTTTTGAATTTTGAGAAATCACAGTAGTTTTTGGCAGTTCAATGCGTCTTCCCAAAAGTCATAGCTGGTCTTAAGAAATCGGAAGAATAAAAGGACCAAAACTATGCTCATTTAGATCAGGTATCCAAACCTGCGCTGCTAATCTTTTAATGAATTAATTTTGCAAGACTATGGTATGAAAAATATGTAAAGGCTCTATTTACAAACCATGTCAGTGCCATGTCTGTGAAGAGCTTTGAGTACCAGTGTTTCACGGACCTTATAAGAGGGCATTTTACCCAGCGTACCTTGCACGTCGCCTGTCTCGCAGTAATACCTGGGGAAGGAGAAAATTGTGGCAACACATAAAGATTTAGATTTCAATCAATTCAAATCAAATAAAAAAAGCAGCGGAATGATTAATCATTTAAGGCGAAAGAGGAATGTCTTTCCAGTTCTTCTCTCGCGAGTTCTGCGTTTCATAGCGGGAAACCTTTATGTCATTGGCCGAACTTAACAAGATTGGACACTTTGTGACGTTTTATAAGCGGTACACAATAAACCAAAGAAAGTTTGAGTACGATTAGGACTGACTCTATGAACTAGACTTCATGTAAAACGAATTTCAAATCCCCATGCAAAGTCAACAGCTGATGAGATCATAGGAGAAGTAAAAACCAGCTGATATGTCTTGATGAACTGCAAAATTCTCAAAACTAAAATTAAAAGAAATCTAAGGCATTTGGTAAGGAGAATTTATAGAAGAAGACTTACCTTTTAGCAGAGTTGACAGGACTGTCTGGGTTTTGCTCTGATGGAGTCAGAAGAAGCTTGACTGCACGAACCTGAGGACAAAACGAAAATAACAAGAAGATTAGGCGAGTTATATGCGAGTTTTTTACACCAATCTCTAAGCGCAGACTGGGCGGTTTTCACTTAAGTGTCCAAAAGTATTTTGTTTGCATCACTACGCTACACGATTGGCTTAAAAACTCGCGCCACTTTTTTGATCCAATGAGAAGTAAAACCAAAACCAATCGTGC